ACAAGAGAAAATCTCCAATCCTTCCTTTCCTCTGAAAGCAGCACCGCATTTGAAGGGACCACACATAGTTTCTTCCTTGGAAAACGCCTTCGTGTTCCCGCCTCAATTAGGGCGACCCCAGAAATTGTGACTTCCCCCACAACACCGCAATACTTATTTGCTCTTTTGCAATTAAAATGGCACTTGTCTCCTGAAACCAAGTAAACCCCGCCCCTCCTCTCCAGATGCCCCTTGAAAATCTTCGCACCAATCGCGTGGAAGGAGGGCCCGGTTAGGCTCCACCCACCGACGGGCGGGGCAAAGTACTCACCGCGCAGAGAGGGAACCGAGGTGTCTCCTCGTTGCCGGCGAGAAGAAGGCTGGGGAAGAGACGGACGAGGTCACCAGCGTTTGGCTCTTCTTACCTCCGGGGCGGAGGCTTCTTCGGCCCGAGCCCCCGCCGCCGCCGCCGCCGCCTGGAGTGTGAGGCGAGGTGGGAGTGGAAAGAAACATTGTCGCTTCGGTGCGAAAAACCGAGGAGCCGTTATAAGACAAAAAAAACAACAACCCAAGCCCCGCTTCAAGTCCCGTTACTGTCTCTTCTCGTGAAGCAAAACCGGCGCACCTTAATGACGTCGTATATTAGCCAAGCACGGGATTGGCTGAGGATTTCTCCGCCCCTCGGCTTGCTCCTATTGACCCTGAAAAGCGGGAACTTCTCGTATATATATATGTGTGTGTGTTTGTTGTGGGTTGGGTCCCGTATGAGCAGGAAAAGTAGCCGGAGACAAGGAGAGGCAGTATTGGACGATGCAGCATTTTAAAGCCTATTTCAAACTGGGGACTCGGGCAGAAATTTTCGAGGTGCCGAGCTCTCCCTCGCCATGTACATGTTGTGCATCCGAACTAGACTGTGTTATTTATCTGTGTCATATAATGTGTAGGTATATGCATAATTTCGTATTTATTTTGTCATGTTTATGTAGGGTATATTGGAGGTGGTGACCCTTTGAGAGCTGTATGCAACGAAACTTCATTTTAATGTATGCATTAAATGAATGATTAGTGTACATTCAAAGTGACAATAAAGTTACTCTTAAGTCATTCTAAGTAAATCCCTGACATTATGATAATGTATCTACTGGTGTTTCAGAATAACAGAGTTGGAAGGGACCTTGGAGGTCTTCTAGTCCAATCCCCTGCTCAAGCAGGAGACCCTATACCAGTGGTGGGTAACCTTTTGGGGCTTGCGTGCTCAAAATTGTGCACGTGTGCGCTTGCGTGCCAGCACCCAGAAGGCAATGTGCATGGGGGGGGCACGCTTCCTATGCGTGCGTGCCGCACATCTCTGCACATGTGTGTATGATCCCCTGCATGCCATGCGTCTCTGCGTGTGCGCGCATCTCCCATGCACCCCCCCTGCACATGCACGCCAGATACCCAACAATCAGCTGTCCGGCAGCACTCATGCATGCGCAGTGGGGCTCTTCCAGGCAACCTCTCATGTGCTGGCAGAAGTGGCTCTGCGTGTCACTTCTGGCAGGCGTGCCATAGGTTCGCCATCATGGTCCTATACCATTCTGGACAAATGGCTGTCCAATTTTCTCTTAAAAACCTCCAATGATGGAGCACCCTCACCTCTTGACTGGACCCACGGACTACTAATAAGCCGAACATGAGCTTCCCAATATGTATTCTTTTATTTGATCTATTTCTACAGTCACACCATCAGTTGTCTGGGAAAGCCAAATGTGTGTTGCTGCCACCGAGGATACCGGCATAAAGTCTTCTGTCCCGGTTGGATCCTTATTGCTTCATTTCCCAGCCACCCAGTCAACATTTCCAAAATTATGTTATAGCCTACAATGGGGGTTTTCAGTCATGACACAAACTCCTAATTGTTTAATGTAACATTTAAGGAATGCTCTGAAACGTGCTGACTGTCTTATTAATTTGGCTGGAAGAAAACTGCTCTGTAAATTATTTTTTAATAGACCAAATAACCTCACTACATCAGAAATGAGCTCTGTAAGGCACACATAGGTTTTTTGTTGGCTATGTCCACATGCTCCACAGAACTGGGAAATGATAAACAGTAACACATAACGTGTGTTGTACAAATCGAGCTGGTACGGCTAGTTTGGCTCAAGGTGCAATGTGAGTCTGATAAACTGGGCGAATGTTTAATTAACATTTGGGATGTTTTGTACATGTATCCTAAAACCTCAATTTTCTTGACTATCAATCAACAGATGCAAAAGGTAAAACCTGAACTTTGGATTTCATTCCTGAACATTGGACAACCCCCATCATTTCTGAAACACCGGATAATCAAGATAATTCATATCATCTATCTCAATTTATGACATTTATATAACTTGATGGGTAGCATGATAAAATGTCAATTACATCAATGGAAAATTTGTATTTAACAAACATCCTTTTACTCCAAGTGATCTGTTAATTCAGTTTTATGTAGGATTTGAGTGATATGAAAAGAACACAGATAAACTGGTCAGGCCAATTCCATAAAAATTCTCCAAGTTTTATGATAATTTTCTTTTTAAATTTCAGAAATTCTGCTTTAAATTTGTGACAAAGATGGATGATTACACAATGATTTTCTTATTTTTGCATATAATCATAAACCTCTGGCTGGCCTCCAATAGAAAGACAAGTTATTGGAAAATTTAAGGGGAAAATTGATATTCTCAGGAAAATTGGAAGATCGACCAGAGAATAGCTGCCCAGGGAACACTGTTTTAATGATAAGCCTATGTATGTCCATCATACATATGTAATTGTGTTAACATGATGACATTGCATGTATTGCACTTTTTATAACAGTTTGATATTGGTACCACTGTATAGTATCACTCATTTGAATAATGCTTTCTAAGATAGTATCAATTTAAGTCAGATAATTTATTGGGAATAATTAATCTCTCCATCATATTGTAGACCCACCCAAATTACTACATCTTTGCACTATTTATAGAGAACTCTCAGAACTTTTGCAGGCCATAGTTAGATAACAAAAGCAAATCTCAATGCAAAATTATTTCCTATCACCAAATTTGTTACTATTGATCCAATTAGAAAATGTTGCCATCATTATCATTTTGTTCATATAGCTTTGCTTTAGCAAATTTATAAAAGAATAACTGACATGTCTTTGTGGATTACTTTTACTTTTTAACAAAAATGATGGAAAAACATACTTTTCATCCATTACATTAGCAACTTTGCCACAACTGCCTACAGTGAGGCAAATGGTATTAAATGAAAGATAACATAACATTTTATACAAGAATCAGACATGATATTCTTCCGATTAAAATCGGAATTCCAATTTTTTTGGGAATCGCCCCCCCTTTCCCCCCCTTCTTCTCCTCCTTCCCCTCCCCTCGGAGGCCCCGAGTCAGGAGTTGCTACCGCTGGCGCGGCTCTGCGTGGCTCCAGTCCCGTGTTGCCTCAGGAAGGGAAAGGCAAAAAGGAAGAGCCGCGGCGGCGCTTTGCAACGGCAACAGCGGCTCCTGGTTTTGCCTTTCCCTTCCCGAGGCAACGCAGGACTGGAGCCGCGCGGAGCTGCGCCGGCGGTAGCAACTCCTGACAGCCCCAGCCGGATATCTGAGCGGAGGCCGGGCGGGCGGTGCGAGTGGAGGCCGGGCGGTGCGAGCGGAGCCCGGGCGGGCGGGCGGTGTGAGCGGAGGCCGGGCGGGCGGCCGGTGCGAGCGGAGCCCGGGCGGGCGGCAGGAAAAGAGCTGGGCAGCGATTTCTTGGCGCGCGGTGGGGGGGTCTCTTTTGGCCGGCCCCGATTTTTTTTTCAGAGGGGAATATCATGCCTGACAAGAATACTGCTTTATTTGGTCTTTGTTTAAAAACGAAAAGGTATGCCTGATTACACTTGAAAATGTAAAAAGAATATCTGAAACAGAAAACTTAAGCATAAAGAGGATAAGAACGGAAAAATGTCATATAGTTTATTAATACATTTTATTGTTATACAAAATATTACTCACAAGAACTATGGAACAAAGAGTAGAAAAAATGTTCTTTATATCAAAATTAGATAACGTTGCTTTAGGCTACATTACTAAATACTTCATCACACTCTGCATCCCCCAGTAACCAGGAATTAACTATAGTAAAGAATTGATTCTTTGCAGGAATAAAAAACTATTTTGGTTCTGGTCAGCTGCAAAATACCCCCTATATTAAATGACATTAAGACAATTGAATTTTTTTAAAAAACTACAGTAAGCATGATGCCAATTATAGTCTTCATGGCCACTTGAATGGAACATAAATAATTACAGTGCCAACTCTATGCGTCACTAAACTGGGAAGGACCAATAAGAATGAAGTCTGTTAGTGAAGAAAAAATCCAGGAGTTTTTCTACAGTATTTGAAGTTAATGTGAAAATAATTGAATTTCTTCAAAATAATTGATCACCATAATTTGTGAAAATTGTGAAAAGTTTCATTTATATACCAACATCCTAACATTTTGTCCTAATCAATAGTTTTATATTTGTGGGGTCCTTGATGTTGTCTGGGCTTGGTTGTTTGCTTACAGAGAAAAATCGGGGAGCTTGGGGACACCGTTTGGGCATCCAGTAGACATAAGTGTTCTAATCGAATACAAATTCAACCCATGGTATATGTGCATTTAGAGTTGCGTCATTTTTTTCCTTCTTTTAGTATGATTCATTTAGAAAATGTAACTGACATTGCCATCCATCCTTGATTAATCAATTTAGAGAGAAATCTTAAGACAAGTCATATAGATAGTAGTATTGTATACCATCATATGAACCAAATGTAAAGTGGAAGTATGGGAATACATTTCTTCGAGTTAATATTCTTTGAATACTTATCAATAATCGTATCTTCCATTTTATACATTGATCAGTTAATTCTAAGTTCAACTCATTGGGTGTTAATTGGTGGCACTTTAAGTAAAACTATCACATTGTGGCTTAAATACATGCTACTTCCCACTTTTTTATCTATGTTTAGCTGAATACTGTAACTGTTTGAAAATACAATATTGATGATCCTTTCCTTTCCCTTCATCTGTGCATACAATGGCAAGCAGTATGAGTTTCTGTATGGGTAAACTAATGTAACACTGATTTTTAGAATTCTACTTCTATATTGCAGAGTTGTAGTCAAAATAGCACTATTTATCAGTTGACTAGCTAGATGTTAACAGACTGACCAGGTTTGCCAGTAATTAAAATTATTTTTTTCAAAGTCTTGTTGTTTTCCCTTAAGAGGAGAATCTTCAAAGAAAACAGGTCTGGTAAGTTTTCTGTGCTACAAAATACTGATCATTTAAAAAGGACAACAGGTAAAGGAAAAATGGAAGAGAGTGGTTTGAAAGACAAAAGACAAGACATCTATCAAGACACTGTCGGCAAAACATAATTTGCTGGATAAGTTATTTCTTGATATCCAATCGGGAACATAAAGAAATCAAATATTTTAAAAGCAGGGATGTGGTAGAATTTGCTTTGACTAATAATATTTGCTGCATTAATGTTGACCAAACCATGAGGGTTTTTGTATTAGTGAATCTAGTTTTTCTTCATAATAATGATAAAATTATTAAAATTGTAATGATTTAATAGCAAGACAAAGCATGAAAAGAAATTTGGCGTGAAAATAAACTAGCTGAAAATTCAAAGTAGGCTGCCAAATCATAAAATTAAATTCTGCAAGCATCCTTGATATATCCATTAATCTAGGGATCAGCAGTGGGCTACTTACTGTACTCCCAGGTAGATCCTTTGCAAAAACTTGGCAAACTTCTTAAGTTTCTTTGATTTGGGAAGGAGGTAACCAGGTTATACAATGTCACCTGGGTCTGGAAAGTATATCCACCCCTGCATTAATCACATAGCAACTGTAGAATCTTAAAAACAATTCACTCTTGGATTGCACCACAATAAAAAACTTAAAAGCTTTGAATAAAAAACTTAAGATAATAATTTTTTGCAAATATCTGAAGTACACTGAAAAATATATACAACACATTTATTGAAACATAATTTAAATTCTTGGAAATAGTACATTTCCCTTCCCTAGTTAGACCTTTTCATTCTTTTTTTAAAAAAAGGATATTTTTCAATTAGATGCAAAATGTTCAATATTTTGAATAAAAGACTGTTTTTTCATTAATTTGCTGAAAAGTCCATTTGGGTTTGCAAGCAGTGTTTCATGCTTTCCACACTCAACTATTCTGCCTTGGTCCAGAACTGCAACAGAATTTGCATTCTGAATGGTGGAGAGTCGATGAGCAATAATAAGAACAGTTCTGCCTTCCATCAACCGGTCTAATGCTTCTTGGACAAGATACTCATTTTCTGCATCCAAAGCACTAATTAATGAATAGAATGTAAAAGGTTATTCTCCCCATTATTAATCTTAGTGCAGATACTTTACTACAGCATAATTGTCTGTATAACTTTTTTCATTTCATTTTCATTTAAAATTTATAATTGTTTTTAAAACAATATTTAATGGTGTCAGGATTTTTAAACAAAAGCAATTATTTAAATTTTTGAGAGATTTGCTTTCAACAAAGAGTGCCCAATATTTTACAGATGATGTCCCCAAAACTGAGTTAAGACATTCTCATTTTTAATCTGCAATTTAAATATCTCGTAGCATGAAGAAGTATTATAGAATCATGAAATAGGAATGACTTAGAGAAGCTTGACTGTGCTAGCAGGCTGTACTGAACACATACTCCTCATCCTCCAACCATTTATTTAGCGTCCGTTCAAAGTTACATTGGCATTGAAAAAAGTGACATGACCATTTTTCACCATTAGAGTATCCCAATGGTCACCATGATCAAAATTCGCATGCTCAGCAACTGGCTTGTATTAATGACAGCTGCAGTGAGAGCAATCAACTAATGGAACAGCTTGCCTTCAGAAATTGTGGGAGCTTCATCACTGGAGGCTTTCAAGAAAAGACTGGACTGCCATCTATCAGAAATGGTGTAGGGTCTCCTGCTTTGGCGGGGGGTTGGACTAGGCATACTTGTACAAATCCAGCCATAAAGACTGTTTAATTTACATTATCCTGAGAATTGTATCTTTTGGGTTGGATCAGATGAAGTAGTTCACCAGCTGACCTGCATGTATCCAAACATATTAGAGCACACTCTTACAAACCCTTCTACTGAGTTGGCTAGAAGCATTATATGTATGGACAACTTCAAATTCATGAAAAGACATCTGGAACAGCATTATGTGTACATATGGAATTCTGGCAGGATGTTCTGACATGGAAGAAAACAGCTGGTCTGGGACAGATTCCTATCAATAAAATGGTTGCTCCAGAAGACATGGATAGTCACAAAACACCATTTATTGCATAGGAAATTCATGAAATTGTTCACATTTCCTCTGGTAACTAGGATGCTAACACCCCACCCTCCCACCCCCGTTTAAAAGAAGAGCAATATCTGAACAATGGGAGAAAAAGTCGAAGCTACAAAAGAATATTCCACACTGAGGAAAAATATTTGCAATGTATTGTCATAGAATCAGTAGTAAAGATACCAGAAAGTCTCTTGGGATTGAATAGTAATTTAGTAAGAAACAACTTCAATATTGTCCAAGCTACCCATAAATTTCCTACTTTTTATTATTTACCTTGTTGCTTCATCAAGAAGAAGAATTTTGGGATTCTAAAAACAGAACAAATACAAAAATATTGAGATCAGAAGTTTATGCAAAAAAATTGTAAAGGAATGTCAGTTTTATTAAAGATTTTAATAGGCATCAAGAGATGTTTTCTCTAAAGCAATACTAATAAATTACTGAAATACTTTATCACAAAATATAAGAGAGAGAGGGAGAAAGAGATAGACCAAAAGAAAGAAAATTAAGTTAGAAAAGACATCTTTTCAAAGCCTTTTTCTTTCATGTAAAACTTGGTCAAACTATAAGACCTTGAAAAGACTGCATTTTAAAACTAAATTTCAAACTCTATTACTATTACATAGCCAACCACCCCACTTATAGTACAAAAAAACTTTTTTAAAATCCTTTAAAATCCTGATCAAAATTATTGTCTTCTTAGAGTTAATGAAAACCTATGGTTTCACAGCTGGTTATTCTAAGATAAAAACTGTATAGAACAAGCTTGCCAAGCTTCAAGCTTGGCAAGTTTAAGACTTGTGGACTTCAACTCCCAGAATTCCTGAGGATTGGAGGAGAAATTCTGGGAGCTGAAATCCACAAGTCTTAAAGCTGTCAAGTTTGAAGACCCTTGGTATAAAAGAAGGTTCAATAATTACAAGATGTTTTACAACTGTTAAAAAAGGCAATGTAATGAGAGCACAGTAACAGCAGGCTATTAAAATATGCATAATAAGCAGTATATTGAAAGAATAGTTTCAATTAAAAGAAATAGGAACTCTCATGCATTCATTGCATTTCTTATATATCATGAAATGCAATGAATGCATGCGAGTTCCCATTTCCCTTAATTCAAATCATTTTTGTCATACAGTATATCTTCCTTGCTCCGTTTCGCTCTTTAAAGGCACAGAAGAAAAAAGGCCTACCTTCAGAAGAGCTCGAGCAATTGCAATTCGCTGCTTCTGCCCACCTTTGCATAAAAAACATAACGTAAATATTGCATGCATTTTATGTATTCTATTTCTTTAAAGTACTCTGCCATTAAAAACAAATGACATGTATCCGTACGTTAGTTTATTTTCTTTCACCTGTGAAAAATCTGACTTAAATGCTTTACTGCAGAAAATGATTATGGCACTGCAGTTAGACAACAAGATCATTTTAAGCGTTTTACTAGAATTCAAGAGATAACATTGAAATCAGTACAATCAAGCATATGCAGTTCTAAGAAAAGGTGTCTAGACAGTGTTTCTCATCCTCAGCAGCTTTAAGATGTGTAGACTCCCAGAATGCTGGCTAGGGGGTTTTGGGAAGCTGAAGTCCACATATGTTAAAGTTGCTGAGGTTGAAAAACACTGGTCTAGATGCTGACAGAATAGTATTTGTTAGTAGAATAGAATTCTTCCTTTCCTCTTCTCCATCTCCCACAACTACACTGATCACATTCCCTTGGGGGCAAAAAAAAGTAAGACAAACCTGAAAAAGGGGCAAATCTAAATGGTCAGTAAGAATAAAAGAATTGTTTATGCTTATGACTAGGCTTTATAAAGGAAAATTCAGGAGCAAAATCAAGGGAAACTTTGCCAGAATGCCACTGTAATAAAAAAAATCTAAAATCAAACAGTATCTTATTTTAAAAAGACAATTCAATTTCCACATTTTTCAATTAAATGTGAAAAACTGCAATTTGCACAGTAAAAATTAAATGAGAAAAATAAAGGACAAAGTTTCTGAAAAATAAATAAATCTAAAGGACAATTTTCTGAAATGCAGATAATCCTTGACTTCTGACACAAGTGAGCCCAAAATAAGTTGCTAAGTGAGTTTTGCCCCGGTTTAGGACCTTTCCTGCAACAGTTGTTAAGTGAATCACTGCAGTTATTAAATTAGTAATATGGATGTTAAGTGAAACTGGCTTCCCCACTGACTTTGCTTGTCAGAAAGTCGCAAAAAGGGATCACATGACTCCGGGACACTGCATCTGTCATAAATATGAGCCACTTGCCTGTAAAGAACTTTATAATAAAGGACATATGGTCTCGGTATCCCTATCCCTGGAATCCCTTGGGGAAGTCAGAAGAAGAGCAGAAGGTGTTTTAGAACAGATTTGTCTTATAGCAGAATGAAACAGGGAAAGGTAATTCCTTCTATAACAGCCATAAATTACGAAAATAGATTTTTAAATGACATAGTCTTACCAGAGAGAAGAATACCTTTTTCTCCAACTAAAGTGTGGAATCCTTTTGGAAAATTTTGGATAAAATTAGAAGCGTTTGCAATTTTGGCAACTTTCTCAATTTCTGCAAGAGTTACTGTGGATGGATCCTCTGCGCCGTAGGCTATGTTTTCAGCAATAGAGCATGAGAACAGAGTGGGTTCCTAGTATATGAAAAAGCATAATGAATATGGCAATACAGGTACACAAATGGCCAGATGAGATCATAAATGAAATAAGTTAACATGTGACCATAGAAATTAAAAGGAACACTTTTTTTTTTCATAAACAGCGATGAGTACGATTGCTTTAAAGGGGCATGAGGCAAATTAAAAAGTTAGAGGGGCAAAAAAAAAAAAAAAAAGGCCTCTGACATTTTAAAACAAATTAGGATCTGCAAATACTCTAAGAAAACTTTGCTGCTCTTTTACCTGACTTACTGTTCCAATATTAGTCCTGAACCATAGTGGGTTTAGCTGACGGATGTCAACCCCATCAACAGTAATGCTTCCTTCAATAAATTAAGATAATTGTGTTAGATAATATGTTAGACAACAATGAGGGTGAAGAGGTTAAAAATACACAGAAGTTCATAATGACATCAAATTAGAAATATTTTTTTAAAAAATATTATCGGCAGGAACTGATTTCACCTTGCATAGAATAAGTGATTTCTAGAGACATTTCTCTCTCTCTCTCTCTCTCCCCCCCCCCCTCTCTCTCATATAAGAAATTATGATTCCAGCACATTCATGTCAAATCCTATCAAGAAAAGCATAGGGACGGGCAGTTTATATATACATTGCCTGAAATATTCCCTTAACTGTAAAAAAATACAAGCTGAAACATAAAAATGATTTTTTAATATATATTGCTCCTATTTCAGTAATAGAAAGGCTCAAGTTATAAAAGGGCAATGATACATTTTATCTCAACTACCTTGTAAATAGTCTTCCAACCAATTCTACAAAGGTCATATTTCTCCACACATTGTGTTTTGATCTCTAATCAGATGTATAGCCAGTAACAGATGTTCAAACATATTCACAAAAACACATGTAACTACCTGAGAGTGGATCATAAAGCCTCAAGAGAAGAGATACAACTGTTGATTTGCCAGATCCACTTGGGCCTACTAGGGCCATGACAGAACCTGCAGGCATGCTGAGAGAAAAGTCTTCAAAAATCAATGTTTCTGGACGTGCTGGATATGCAAACTTGACACTTTTGAATTCAAGAGCACCTCTGAAAGCATCCTGGCTTAATACTGTTCCCTCTAAATAGACATGAAAATTCAAAAATGAAAGTAACATCAATAATATATCATTCAAACATGTTTTAGTAAAGACAAATCCAATTGTTCGCACTGAAAATTTACTAAAAGAGAATAAATATGGTCAATATGATACTTTACTAAGATTCTGTAAACTAGGGTTACTTGAATCTGGACATTCTGAAAACTGAGTCATCAAATAATTTGGGCTTGTCTGATTACAGAACAAAGCATGAATCCCAGCTGTTGGTACATTCAGGAGATCAAACTCCTCCTCCTCTGGTGCCTCATAGCCTAACGTTTCTAAGACCTGCTGGTTATGGTCAAATTGGGCCCAAAGGTATTCTTACTTCACTCCAGAATTGATAATATACAGGTAGTCCTTGACTCACAACCACAATTGAGCCCAAAATTTCTGTTGCTAAACCAGACAGTTAAGTGAGATCCATTTTACAACCTTTCTTGCCACAGTTTTTCTAAGTGAATCACTGCAGTTGTTCAGTTAGTAGCATCATTGTTAAGTGAATTTGGCTTCCCCATTGATTTTGCTTGTCAGAAGATCACAAAACGACCCCGGGACACTGCAACCATCATAAACATGAATCAGTTGCCAAGTGTCTGAATTTTGATTACATAATGATGGGGGTGCTACAACAGTGTTAAGTGTGAAAAACCATCATAAATCCTTTTTTTAGTGCTGTTGTAATTTTGAACAGTCATTAAATAAACTGTTGAAAGTTGAGGACTAACTGTAATTAGGTCACGTTCCCAGTAACAGCAACAAAAGAACAGAGAATAGGAAACAAAAGAATTGTGATTTTATGAAAGAAGGTAGAATGGCATAAATGTATATCACAGCTAGAACAGAAATCACTCCTATTCCTGGCAAGGGATTATCAAATCTTAAATCATTTGTTTATGTATGTATGATGTTACTGATCAGAGTGCTAACTCTATTTCAATTTCATTTCAAATTGCCATAGGTGTGGTACTTTTATAGTGCTTTACTGCATTCTATAAGGCACAGGGAGAGAAATTATTGGAGGGTTGGGTAGGAATGCACACACAGAATACATATTCCCACCCCACCCACCAATAACTATAATAAAATAAGCCTTGGAGGGCTACAGGGGCCATAGCCAGTAACATAATGACATTATAGTTATTTTCATCTTGTCAGGAGGATTTTTAAAGGAAGAAATGCACTAACCATAAGGCATCCATTTTGAATATCGTAAGATGTGAAATGTAGTTTAGGGAAGTTTCAAGATGTTAGCCGTTTAAAAGGATGCACACAAAATCTTCACCATAACCAATTTATGCATGTTTTTTGTGGCATCAAATGAGTAAGTCCATTTTTTGGGATCATTTATGACATTAAATGTGTACTTTGTTTACATCCTTTACTAGAATAACGTCTAATGTTCATTTTTGTGTGATATTGCATGACATATGGATATTTTACCATCTTAAACAACTGCAAAATATTAAGAACATTACCATTAAAAGGAAGTTGTGGCTTGCGATCAATAAGTTCCCACAAGCGCCCTCCTGCACCCAAACCTTTCATTAAGTCAGTATAAAAAGAGCTTAATCCTAGGAAAGAAAGAAAAAGTACCCCTATTGTTATACGTGTTCAAAAACAGGTACTGCATGTTTGTTAAACAAGTTCTGCCAGTCAGTTTACAAACAGCTAGAATGAAATAGCCAGCTAGTACAGCTAAATAGGGCATAGCCCAAGATTAGGTTGTTTAAGGCAGGAACAGAAATTGAACAGGGGCTTTGCCTTTCTTCCTTCATTTTCACCCCTACCAGCAGAAAAAGTAAGCACATAGCCTAGAACTGTTTTATTTCCCTTTTTTTAAATAAAGAAGATCCATAAAATGGCAGGCAGAACTTCTCTGAATAGATTATCTCTCGCATTCATCAGGGTTGGAATTTGTTAACCATTCAAAAAGTTAGGTCAGTGTTTCTCAATTGTGGCAACTTTAAGATTCCCCAGTGTAGAGCTGTAATTGCAGGAATGTTCCAATCTCGGAGGCAAACCTCAGATAAAGAATGTTTCCAAGCAAGTACAACTCAGGTAAACAAAGTCACTAATCTAAAGGAGGATTAGAGAGAGGAAGTAAACATATTTTAGACTTTAACTAGAGATAATTAATTGTATTAATTACTGTGCTAAACAGTAACGGAAGTTAAGCAGTAACCAAAGTTAACCAATGATGGAGGATAACTAAAAATGTGTATAAATGCAAGACTAGACTCCAATAAAAATCATCATGATTCAGTTGTTCATGATCAAACAACTCGACTGCCTCGTCATTACAACACCCCAGCATCTAGCTGGAGAATTCTGGGAGTTGAAGTCCACACATCTTAAAGTTGCCAAGGTTGAGACACACTGGGCTGGATGAATGCTCTTGCTGACCCCTGACCCTCTAGCACAGTTTCCCTCTGGAGCCGCATGTGGCTTTTTCACCCCTCTGCTGTAGCTCCCTGTCGCTCAAAATATGTGTCGCAACCGCCAATGTGTGACACCTGCCGGCAAACGATTTATTGAGCTTTTCGACCCACGGTAGGCCAACTATGGATAAATCCAAGAAATGAAAAGTTTCAGAATAAAACAGAACATTTAATTCAATGTTCATATGCTAGTTTTGTGGCCGCTCAGGAAATAATCAGGCATGGGAAAGGTTTTGTGGCTCCCGGTGTTTTCTCTTCTGTGGGAAATACGTTCACATGGCTCTTTGAGTGTTTAAGGTTGCCAAACCCTGCTCTACCACCTGAATAATTGTTTAGTCAGTTTGGTGCAACAAGAGCTGTTCTGTAAGGAGAGATTAACACTGGACAGACAAGCTAGCAATTTTGGGAAATGTACTCCATACATCTGCAAAAAGGCAAATTGGAGATGGCCGATCTTTTGTCTTCTGATCTGATATCGTGTCTATTTGTTTTAAAAATTTACTTTTAAGAATATACAGTATTACCTCTAATGCTTATGCCAACCCAGAAAGCATACATTAAGAAAGAAGACAGTTCACCAACAGTCAAATGGGCACCACCCATCAGTAATCCTCCTTTGTAGAGAACAAAAAGCACAATCAAATTGCCTGATAACCCCGTCTGTAAAGAAAGAAAAGGGAAAAGTACTGATTGCAGGATTTTAATGTAATTCTTTAGATGTATGGATGAATATTACAAGAGAAGGAAGAAGAGGCACCCCTCACCCACCTTGGCCTAAAATAAGATCAAGAAATCTATCCTAATAATACTCTTAGTATTTAGAATCCCATAATTAAAAACACCAATCCTCTAATACAGATTATTTTGGGGCACTTTTATATGACTAGCATTTTCAACATCTGATCCAGAATCCGGTTTCAAATGCACCTGGGAATGCTTTAACTATTTTTTAATTCTACTCAGCTTTTGAAGACTACCATCATAGGTCTATTTACATGGTTTTAAGTTTACAGAACTCTAAACCAGGCAATCAGTGTTTTTAACGTTCTGGCCAATAGTTGAGGCCAGAAAATATCAGCCAATTAATGGTCACTTGCTGGCTAATAATGCAGTGCTTCATCCCACCTACCCCTCAGATTCATAACTAAACAAATGCAGTATCTCATTTGTCTTTTCAAAGTAAAACAGGACAAACTACTTGGGTGTGTGCCTGTGCTTCTGTGCTCACTTGAGTGGTACATTTCATTGCTTTCCAAACTTAATGAAGGGTTCAACGGCAGTAAGAACATTGAATGTGAGAAAGACCACTTCTTAGTAATTTCTAGAAATAGGTCTTGGAGAAAAAGGAACAAAGTAGAAAAAAACAGTGCTGTATTTCAGCACTGAAATGAATGATTGCAGGAAGAACAAGCACAAATGAAAAGGTTATGTGAAAAAGAATCTGAATATAACTTAGCCCCTCAGTAGAACAAGCTGAGGATTGTAGAAGTTGTTTAGAACACTGTGAAAATAATTTAAAAGCACAGTAAAAATATATGTGGCATATGAAAAAGGATGCTTATCACAAAGATGGTGAAAGAAACAGGATGAGGGAAAAATGCAAACAGAAGGATTCCTGCAAAAATTGATGAAACACACTGTGTAATGTGTATATAGAGAAAAAAAGATAGTTGCAAAAAGAGCAAGGAATGGTTAACATTAAATAAGGCAAAGAAAATGTGGAGCAATTTTAATGGAAATAGAACTTTGTTTCAGAAGTGGAAGAAGTGAGCCAAACAAAGAATCTCTACCAGGGTGAATGGTAGATAAAATAATCTGGGACCTAACTGAAATGAGGAAATGCTGGAATGAATACATATTTGAGAGATGGCTTATGAGAATGACAATGGTATAATGAGGAGTAGAACTGAAACTTCCAGTATTTTAAGTATTATTGTCCAAGAAAAAAAATGCTATGAGAAAGTTGAAAAATAATAAAATTACAGAAGTATACAGTATACTGGAAGAAATGTTATAATATGTGGTTTGCTCATAGAGTGGCTGTGCAACATTTTAATTTGTCTGTAAAGACTACATCAGTACCTGATGTTTGGAAAAATGTTCCTTTATACAAAGGGAAAAACCCATAAGGGGATTAATTTGGTGGGAAAGTGGCAGGATTCTGATTCAAATGTGTCAGCAGATGACAATGTCAATTTGGGGAAGTACAGTGAGGCTTTATGAAAGGCAGATGAGACCTCTTTCTGCTTTCCGGGCCACATAAAAAAGAATATTTATTTTGCATTTGTTGATTAAGAGAAAATATATGAGAAACTCAATATGCTTAAGTTCTGGAATACTATGTAAATATGGAGATGAAAGTTGGAATTAAGTAAAACTGATGGTTAAGACTCCAGGCAAGACTCTGGGAGACGGTGAGTTCTCGTCCTACTTTAGGAATGAATCCAGCTGTGATGTCTTTTTTGCTTGTTCAATGCATCTGTAACTCAAAATATAAGGAATGTTTGTGTTAATGGAAAAAGTATGTGTGTCAAGAGCATGAACATATGTATATTTTTTGTGCACAGACAATGCTGGGTGATTAAAAAAAATAACAGTTAAGGAAAAATAAATAGGTTAGAAGGAAGGGGAAGACTAAAAAAGTTATGGTTAAAATGAGAGAGGTAGTGGACAAAAAGCAGCATATGAAGTGGTATACAGATGTCGTAGAAAGTAGAAGATGCTTTGCAAAGGTAGAAAGTTATGGAGAGGTACAGTGAAAAATGTTGATATAAAATTAATTTCAGTTCCATTTACTTTTCTAAATTTTTTTCCTTAACATTAGATTTTTTTTTTTGCCTTAGTGTTTCTTGCTTTTTTCCTGTTCTCTACATAAGTGTATGAGGGAGATGGGCAGTTAAAAATGTGATAAATAAAATGATAAAATAAATAACATTGTTATCTAAAAATGGAGTGGCTTCATGAAAATATATTTATAATATATTTATATACTTAAAAATAATTTCTGTAAACCTATTCAGTACATTAATTTATTGATGGTCATGATAAAAAAATGCAATTACAAGATTTGTCAAAATAACAATTTAAATATTCAAGGAAACACTTATCAGAAATACACAGATGATTCCTCACCTTCTTCATATACTTACTGCTCCAAAGAATCCTGCTCCAGCTATTGCTTCCTTTTTGGCCAATTGTAGAACATACTGAATCTTGTTGTCATATTTTTTCATTTCAGTTAACTCATGCCCAAAAGCTCGAACTGTTCTTAAATTTCCAATCCTTTCTTCTGCTAACTGTAGTAAACAAAATGTTAAGAATTAACACATTTCCCATAAGCCTTCCCAGATTGCTCTCATTGCATGTTGTTATTAAACTAACAGTGAGTCTTTTCTGCTATACTATTTACATAGTCTAATGCATTTATCACCCTGTAATACAACATACCAGGCCAGGGAAGAATGGATTTACCTTATATTCAGGCTGTCAAAAAATTTTATGTCCATTCACAAACCTATATATTAAAACTATTTCCATAATGAGCTATTTCTTTTTAATCAGCCAAAATTAAAAGATACTTTTAAAGTGTATTTTATCTAATAGTATGCATTTTTAAATACATTTGGCAGCATATTATAAGAGAGAGAAAGGCAAAATCCTTCTAAAAGGATAGCCTAATTTGAATCATTGTGTTAATTAGTTCAGATCAATTAACACTGAACTTCTCAAAGAACAATCCCCAGAGAACAAATTCTTCAAGCATCTTGAGCTATAAGATAGTTTGAGATGTGATTGTACGAAAAAGAATACTTCAAATTGGGGAATTACAAGGATGGCTATGTGGAAATGACTTCAATCAGACTCCTAGTAGGAACTTGTGGGGGATATGAATGAAAAGAGAAAAGGCCAGTTCAGCACGGTCTTTCAACATTCTCATTTGAACAATCGAGAACCTACCTGTGTGGCCTCTGCAAGGGAATTCTGTGTCATTCTAGACAGTTTTCGTAAATACGTTCCATAAAGCACAGCTATGACAGCCAGGGATGGTACGAGAGTCAGGACAAATGTAGCAAGTTTGGGAGACACAAAAAACTAGAAGCAAAAAAGCAGTGATTAATTTTTAAATGCAGTTTACAGAGGCTTTGTTAGATCGATAAATCAAATGTTTCAATTAGTCCTCTATTAACAATGGCAATTGGGACCAGGATTTTGGTTGCTTCTGGATGCTGTCATGAAGCAAACCTGACTATTGTTAAGTGAGGATGTCACGTGGTCACCTTTTGTGACCTCCTGCCAGCTTCCCCATGGACTTTACCTATAGGAAGCTGGAAAAGAAGGTTGCAAACGGTGACCATATGTCAATGAAATGTTGTAATTGTTATCCGGGTGCCAAATGCCCAGATTATGATCACATGAAAGGGGTGCTGCAATGACTGAGGATCAGTTGTAAATACTACTCATGCAGCATTGTCACAAGTTCAAATGGTTGCTCAATGAATGGTTGGTAAGCAAGGTTTACATGTATAGGTAATCCTCCTCCCTTAACAACCAGTCACTTAAAGATCGTTTGACATTATGTCAGATTTAAGGACAGTTACTTAAGACCTACCCTTGAAGTTATGACTGCTGCACGCTTACCCGCAAACCACAATTTGTAGTGTTTTTGTTAATTTCTGGTGGGATTTTTGCCAGTATGCAGAACCCTCCCCCAACCCATTCAAGAGAATGGATCTGCTTAACAACCATGTAGTTCACTTAATGACCACATGATTTGTTTAACCACCACAATGAATTGCCTTACCCGTCATAAAATGGTTGTAAAATCCAATCAGGTGAGTCTCATGTACTAGTTACTGAATTCAATAGTTGTGTTCAATAATTGCTGAACTATTTATTTGAAGTTATTCCATAGTTATTATGAGCAATAACATCTATTATACAGCTACACAGCTATCAACATCAGTTCCAGTCACTTTTATAATACAATCTCTTCCATGCTGCAGGATGCAACTGCACTACAACACAAAGTAGAAGGAAGAGAGACTAACATGATCCAATGATTAGTTTTTTGTATTTTTTGTTTTACTTTTCCCTTTTATATCTTGTGACCTCTCCACCATCATTCATATAAAGCAAAGCACATGGGAATCTTTTTTACTGATAAATTTAAAAAACACATTTAGAGAGAGCAGGTTTAGTCTCGTAGTTAAGGCTTCAGGCTAGAAACTCTGAATTCTAGTCCTGCCTTAGGCATGAAAGCCGGCTGGGTGACTTTGGGCCAGTCACTCTCTCTCTCAGCTTACATCAAACTTGGGCAATGAGCTAGTCAGTAAATTCCTGTTGCAACTAGCGAAGCAACACTTGATTGATCTGAAAAATCAGTTGTGGGAAAACCTTAGGAAGAAAAAAATAAAAAGGACATTTGGAGTCAAAAGACTCTAGATATTCATATGTAATGTAACATTTTTGTCTACTGTATTATAGTGCTATTGATGGGAAGCTGCAATTGTATGATTTTTCTTTATTATGGAAACTATTAATCTGTGGTACAAATAGAATGCTGTTAACTTCTGTCCACTGAGTTATTTTTTCTTTCCTAACATGTAATTAAATATAATTCTATTATTTGCACTACACAACAACTTAGTTCAAGGTATGTCCTCAAACCATATTGTCATTGGTTGAGCAATGTCATTGTAGCTGGTAAACCATGACTAATGGCTGATATTTTGTTGTAATCTTTATGTCTCTTTTTTCTGTGAATTATAATATGAATGAGATATGCGTTCCCTAATTCCCTAGCAATATCACTGCAAGGTAGATGCGACTGGAAAAAAAAAAGACTGGCCTATTATTATCCAGTGAGCTCGAAAGAGAATCTTCCCTAGTCCAATTCCAATCTTTTAATCATCACACCAGTCAATTAGATATTTTTCAACAAAATGTTGTTAAAATAGCTCCTCAATGCAATGTGCAGAGCTAGTTATTAAATTTCTCATCTATTCTAATACAGTAAATCTATGAAGATGGATGGATGAGGTGGGGGAACAGTGTTATACCAAAGGATCTGCAAAAATGGAAGAACAATGCAAACACATACCATCATCCCAATAGCAGCTGAGGCCTGTCCTGCAGCTCTTAACCCATCCGAAAGGTTTTCAGTGACTGAACGGCCCAAGAGAGCTGTGTCTGAAGACAAGCGATTAATCAGCTCCCCTGTGCTGGTTTTATCGAAGAAAGCTACTTCTTGTTTCAAGAGAGAAGAAAATATTGTTGCTCTTAGACGGTTCACAATTCTTTGCCCTAAAACAGTAAAGAAGTATGGCAATTTATAGACAGGATTTTAATAGTTAAAAAACCCCTAGTATTATGAGCATTCACCAAAGTTATTTGTGATAATCCAAGCTCTCTACCATTTATACTCTGATGTCCTTCACCTGTCTCATCTATATTTACCTGTCCCAATTGTGGGTGATACTATGTGAGCATCTTTTTCCAACTGTCTACGCAGGATTTCACATTGGATGTGCTTCAACTGTTTGAAACCAAATATGGATAAGATTATTGTATTCTCCCTTGATCATCTTATCCCTCCCCTTCCTGTTGCTTAGTTTGAATTTCAAGATTTGTTGCAGATCTCTCCAGCCGTGAGGAACCTAGGAATCATAATTTAATGACCTTTCATATGGGCAGAGCTGATTATTACAAAAATCTGCTGATGGATCATGTCCATTTGTGTTTTACCAATTTTCCAGCTAGGATCATTTGACTCTATTACTTCTAGAACAGCCACACCATGGTGAAGAGATTTTCTTCATCCAGTTCTGTGGAATAGTCTCTCACCAGGGTTATATTTGGAAGCGGATCACCCAAAGTTTAAAAAGCAATAAAAATGCTTCTTTTTCATGGCCCTGTGAAACAGATTTAAAATAAATAAATTCGTACCTATTAATTGTATTGAGGTGGTTATTATATGCTATGTACTTTTAGTATAAAAGCTCCTTATTTTACATTATGATATGCTTAATGGTAATGTATTATGTTCCAACTGTAATTTATTCTATGTCTGTATTACACTCAGTTATAATCTTGTAATCAATAAAACAATAGGTACTACTATTATCCTGTAACTAGATCCTATTTATCAGCACCAAGAAAGAAATGTATTGTTAGGTCCTTGGTGCTCTCTGAGCTTGGTAGTTTTCTTGCAGACATTTCATTACCACACTAGGTAACATCATCAGTGCTAGATGCTACCTAATTTGGTAATGCAACATCTGCAAGAAAATAACTAAGCTTAGAAAGCACCAAGGATTCCAGAGTTCAATCCTGAGCTACAAATATTCTATTGGTAAGAAATGTATTGCACAGAAAGGCAGAGAGCTATATGCATATATGAAATACTGGATCAAGAAAGAAATATTGGTTACAAACACAAAAGAAATAAGATGTTTTGTGCCTCTTTGTAATAATTTATAAGACAGAAAAGGGCATTTCAAGTTTGTTCTTGTTTTTTTTCTGCTTCCATAGAAATTATGCTGTATTTTTTTTTGTTTTTGTTTTGTTTAAATAGCACAATTTCTATGATTGGGAAAGAATTCTAGGTCACATGTGGATTGCTACCTGACCATCCACTGGCAAGAAACTCTTGTTGTATCTGGCTCTGTATTTTGAATATCTTATTTACCACTGGCCTATACAGCTCACAAAACCATGTAATTTTACATCCAATTACCGGTACCTGAAATCTGCATGAGGTAGACACGTATTCCATTGGCAGCTGCACCGAGCATAAATATTCCAGTTAATAAGGCACAGAGTGTGGATAGGTTCTCTGCAAGGTCACCAGTTGGATTTGTGTAAACGACATCAATAACTTTCCCCAAGAAAAAAGGGGCAGACATAGTGATGACACTGGAAATAGCCAAAAATCCAATAGCAGCTGGATAGGAGGGAGGGGAATGAACATATTACCTTTTTAGTAATTATTCTAAGTTAACATTTCATAAAACACTTAAGCTCTTTATAGAAACAATACAAGGAAATATTTTAAATGTTAACACTATTCTAAACTGAAATTGTGAATGCAAGCTTCACAATTGGGTTTTTGAATTAAATGCAAGGTATTTTATAATCTCCCGTCAATTTAGCATAATCCCAGGTAAGGGTGGCTGTGTGAAGGACTGCATCTTAAAAATAAATATGGCATATTACCAAAATCCAATGCATCCGATATACAGAACAAAAATCCACTTTAGCGATCTAGTTCACAGAAACCTAGTTTACACAAGCCACAATGACTGGCTTTACATTGATAAAAGTCAAAATCCAATGCATCAGATATATAGAACAAAAATCCACTTTAGTGATCTAGTTCACAGAAACCTAGTTTACACAAGCCACAATGACTGGCTTTACATTGATAAAAGTCATAAACCACAATTTACAAAGCTGAATGATTCAGCTGACACTGTGCTAAATAAAAAAATCAAACAAGCCACATTATACTTTGCCATTATTTGTACCCTAGGTCACTATTTTAAGGAACCTGGCATAACAATTTGAAAGAATGTAAAACCAAACCCCACTTTGTAAAACCTCCCATATCACCTGTAAATTATATAAGGGATCATTTAACAATCTCATATATGTAAACTACATTATGAATGCTACTTATTTTTTATTTAAATGTATTTGCATTTAAATAAATTTAAATTATTTACATTAAACTTTATGTTCAATTTACCCTGCCACAGTACTGCTGCAAAAGCGAAATACTACATGAGCAAATCCCTCTACATTCTTTTTTATGCAAGATCTCAACTCTTAAACTACATATGGATTCAAGTTTTATTGCATTCTTAATGCAGCAATTGACTTGAACAGTTTCACCACAAGCTCAAAGAAAAACTGTTTTGCAGTGGGTGCTGCTGTGGGTATTACATAATTTGATTTTGCAATATGGCATAATATCAAGCAGTATCTTTAGTAATACACCTAAGAAAACTAAACATTATTACTGTAATGATTGATGCACAGACATTATATATATCAAATCAGCAGGAGATTTAGTCAGAAGTCCCAAGAAATACAAGGCAAGACTGGGATAATGGCACTGATTTGTGCCAACATAGGACACAAGTTAACAGTGGGGAAATGGTTTGAACTTTAGTTTACTTCCAAACTCCAATTCTCTGGATCTGCAAAAATTGGAATCAAAACCTAGCCAACCCCATTTTTTCTGGAGCACTATGTGAATATATCCCAAGTGAGGTGGAGAATTAGCAATTCATATGGATATCACTTATTGTTATTATTAATAGTACTATTAATCTAGTATTAAGTTATTTTCATATAAATGTTTAGGGGTCAATGAACAATCTGAAACTTCATGTGTGGATAAGTGGAAAAGTTTGGGGATCCCTAATTTAGACCCCTCATATTTGGGGTGGCCAAGAGTTAGAACCAATGAAGTTTCCTTTGTTCACAGCATTTGCTGTCATCTAGAGGCTGTCCAGATTTTTTCAGCCTATATCAGATTGTTTTAGCACCCCTGAAGTGCCCCCCAAAGTATTTCTACTATTCAGAGATATAGAAGAAAAATAAGAAGCAGCAGCCCACAGTATATCAGAGTTCCCTCTCTAGAAAGCAAATCATGCTGAGAAGTCTGGATGAAAGGCTTATGGTGAGAAATGATAATGGATGCAACTCAAGACTTCCGGAAGATACTATAGGCCCATGATGGCAAACCTGTGGCATGCAGAGCCAGTTGTGCCGGCACATGAGCTGCAGGCAAACTTACCTCACTGTGCATGTGCGCGCCTCACAGCTGATTTTTGCTGGGTTTCAAGGCCTTTTTCAGCCTCCCAAAGGCTTGAGGAAGGCTTCTGCAGGCATTGCTGGCCGAAAACTAGCCGTTTTGTCACTTCCTGTTTTTCCGAAAATACCGTAGGGGGACGCACACATTGCCTTCTGGGTGAGCGTGAGTGTGCAAGCGCGCGCACAATTTTTGGCATAGGAGCCCAAAAAGGTTTGCCACCACTGCTATAGGCAGTCTTCGACTCATGACCACAATTGAGCCCAAAATTTCTGTTGCTAAGCAAGACAGTTCTTAAGGCAATTTTGCCCCACTGTACCACCTTTCATGCCACAGTTGTTAAGTGAATCACTGGAGTTAGGTTAGTAACACAGTTAAGTCTTTACACATTGACTTTGCTGATCAGAAGATCAATCACATGACTCCAAGATACTATAACTGCTATAATTACATGCTAGTTGACAAGTATTTGAATTTTGATCATGTGGCCGTAGGGATGCTGCAATGTCGTAAGTCTGAAAAATGGTCACAACCCTCTTTTTTTGGTGCCTTTTTAACTTCAAACAGTCAGTAAATAAATGTTCATAAGTTGAGGACTACTGGTAAACTGGAGTATTGAAATATATGTATGTATGTATGTATGTATGTATGTATGTATGTATGTATGTATGGTATTCAGCTTTGTTCGGGTATTTTCCCACGTCATTATAGTTGTGCTTTTAAAGTTGACGTGGGAAAATACCTGAACAAAGCTGAATACCATACATGTAAGTACCCACGAAAACTTAAGAAAACATACACACACACACACACACACACACACACACACTCTCATAGATTTTCATGGGTACAGGTATGTAGGTCTAGGTGTGTTCGGGTCTTTTCCCGTGCACTGGCACGAAGCCGAAAGCACCAACCTGAGGATGGCGAGTAGGACCTTGCTGAAATGTCGCCAAGATACTCTTAATCTTACACGGGAAAAGACCCGAACACACACACACACACACACACACACACACACAGTATCGTAGTGTGCAAATGAAAGGGAATTGCTGATCCAGATATGGTTGGGGGCAGGAGTAAAACAGAGCAATAGAGTTGGAAGGGGCATTGGAGGTCTTCTAGTCCAATATGCAAGGATTTTGCGAGGAGGTCACAGACATGGGCTTGACATCCAATGTAAATGTTGAGTAGAACCCCATTAGGATCAAAGAACTTGGAGCTGAGGATCAATCACCACTCTCTTTTTGGAGGAAAAAGCTAGAGAGAGCAAAGAAGTCTATGGGGATTCTCAGGCCATGGTTGTTCCAAAGATGCTTTTGCAAGAGGCAACTGGACTTTCTGTTAGCAGACAGTACAACTGCCTCTTGAAAAAGCACCTTGAGGGCAAGCAAAGAAGTCAAGAGCAGCGCGGGGCATCCCCGTCAATGGGCATTTGTTTGAGCCCACGCTGGAGTGGAGCGAAGGGCAGAGTGACGGCTGGAAGGGAACAAGGCAGCCAGCAGCGGCAGCCTTTCCCTTGCTACCTGACGGAACCAGTTACGAGTTCCCGGGGAGGGGAAAGGTACATTGCAGGAATAAAATCAATCTCTCCCCCCCACCGGCCCGCGCGCTTTGCAAACCGGGAGCTGCAGCCGAGGAGGAGGCGAGACCCGGCCGGGGAAGAGATTACCTGACAGTTTCAAGCGCTCCGGATAAGCCAACGCCAAAAGCCTCTTAGCGTCAGAGACTGCGCCCTCGTCGGGCCCTGCCGGCGGGGGCTGCTCGGTTCCTTGTGGGTCGCCCGGTTTCTTCCCCGAGGATTTGGCGGCCGCGGCTGCCCAGGAGAAGGCGGGGCGGGAAAAAAGCGGCACACGGTGAAGAGTGCCGGGGGCCAAAGCGGCGACCCCGCACCCCTCCGCGGTCCATGCCGCGCTCCCGGGGACCGTCGGGTGGAAGAGAAGCCGAGGCCAGGAGGAGCTCCGCAGGCTCTGCCGTCGCCACAGCCGCACCACCAAGGGAAGGCGGAGAGCCAAGCCCGCCATTGAGCCCGCGGCGATTCCTTCTCTCTGGCCGAGCGGGCAGAGGGCGGCCCCTCACGAGCGGGGTCGGCGCGGCCCCATGAAGCGCGCGGCCCTGCCCTCGCTGCTGCCCGCTGATAAGGCTCCCGCTGAGGCTTCCTCCTCCCTACTCAACCGGCCGCCAGCGACCCAGGGCTGGGGCTCGGAAGCCGGCGGCGCCCTCTGCTGTTCCGGCTTTCGCCGAGCGTTTTGCCAAGACCAGCAAACCGTAAACCGCGGTGGCCGAGTTGGTGCGGCGCGCTGAGTGCAAGCCGGCCGACCTTATTTAACCTGTTTTATTCCATAGTAAGAACCGAAGGCAGTTCGGATTTTTCAGGCTTTTATAGGTCTATCCGCTCAATTGGCTCGGTACCAGCATAGAACTGGGGTTCGCTTGCTTTCTTTTAGGATGTTTGATTTCACGGGCTAGCCCGTACCTGTCCTTCCAAGATCCTGCTTAAGTTTTGGCCTCAACCTCTTCAATAAGAATAAATGAAATATCGTTTAAGAAAGTCGAAACTCTTTTCTTCGTCAGTCGGAGGTCTCCAACCTTGGGAACTTTAAGACTTGTGGACTTCAACTCCCAGAATTCCTCAGCCAGCAAAGCTGGGAGTTGAATTCTGGGAGTTGAAGTCCACAAGTCTTAAAGTTGCTATGGTTGAAGACCCCTGTCCTAGTAGGTTGCAAAGTGCTAAATTGAATTGTATAGCACCATCTTCCAACTAGTAAGAGTGGCAGTCCATCTTCCGGCGTTCTTTTGATACTGTTCCTATAACAGTACGGCCCACACAAGGGAGGGGGCATCCAAAAGAAGCAGATTTTTTTTTTTTAAACTTGTGAATGAAATAGAAATCATCAGCGGCAATGCTTTCAATCGGATTTCATGAAAGCCAGTTGGATGACTGGGCCACTTACCCAGCCAATGATGTCAGGCTCCGGCGACAAAACCTGTCAGTCAATTCCTCTCGCAATCAATGAATCAACACTTGGTTGGGGGGCGTAGGCGTGGGGCAAGACAGCCAAACCTGCACTTGCGGAAAAAACGCTAGGAAGACAGACAGGTCTCAAAAACCACATTTCCTCACATGCTGTAGTAATTGCATTATTAATATTTGCCTTAGACTTTGGAAAAGGTGCTCAAATATTTACAGACTCTTCAGTTCTGAGTACTCAAAGCCACCAACCGAAGAATTAGCTGGTACAAACCAATATAGAGAATTCAACTATCTCAACAGCCTTTGAAGTAATGTAATTAATAGTTTTACAATTCAGATATATCAGGCTTACAAGTATCCATAACTGAGCTGGGGTTTTTTTTGCCCCTGGTCCTGCAAGATGTAGCAAGTGCTCCAAAGAACATTTCTGAAGTAAAGCTTACAATGACCTTAAGATAGAAGATTTCCAAGTTACTGTATAAATGTAAAAAAAATAAAAATGTTAGGATATGAAGTGTACTGTATCAAAGATAATGGGGAGATTCCTTATTGGAAGCTGAATGTCCTTCCCAGTGAGAAATGCTGGCCACAGTTCTGGAAAACTCTCATTGTCTCAGTATCTTTATATGTATATTTTACCTTTTAAACTTTAAAATGTATGTTGTATTTTAACTAGCTTCTTACGGCTATCTCTTGCTTATAATTCTGTATAAATGCATGCTTATATTTATACAAAATATAAACAAGTGATTTTCTTTCTACTTTCCAAAAAAATATTTATATTGTGATATTAAGGAGATATAAGCTGTTTGGGAAATTCTTGTCTTTAAAGTTGGCAATTGAAAAATATACATTATCATGGAGAATAGAAGAAACACTGGTGCTGCCTTTGTTGGAGTGAGAAATTCCAAAACCCAGAATTATTTGCGAGCAGATAATAAATGCCTTTAGGAGTAATACAAATCTTTATTCCTGTTTAATGGCGGAGTTTTTAAGCATAGCTGTTTTAAGTTTAAAAAACAAGTTCATATGTCCAGACAGGTAAACAGGATCAGAATCTGAATACATACTCCAGCACCAGTAAGCAGGTTACAGGTTGTCTTTGACTTACACAACTGGGTCCAAAATTTCTGTTGCTGAGACATTTATGAGTTTTGTTCCATTTTATGACCTTGCCACACTTGTTTAGTAAATCACTGCAGTTATTAAGTTAGTAACACGATTGTTAAGTGAATCTAGCTTCCCCACTCTTTTTGCTTGTCAGAAGGTTGCAAAAGGTTGCAACCATCATAAATATGAGTCAGTTATCAAGCATCTAAATTTTGATTGAGACCATGGATATGCTGCAACAATCATAAGTCACTTTTTTCAGCGTCGTCGTAACTTTGAATTCTCGCTAAAAGACTGATTGTAAGTTGAGGACTACATGTATTTTAACACTAGTGAGAAATCCCACTAACCTGTCCTGAAAGGAAAATTTGTATGATTTTATTTTTGGAACTAGAGCAGAATGAGAGAAAACAGAGAAGTTGCTGGATTGAAGAACGAGTTGGATTGAAAATCTTCAATGTGGTGCTACTTCAATGTGATGCTACTTACTTTTTTATGGTTGTTATTATTTCTCTGTATAATCTCATAATTGCAGTCTAATGTTTAGTGTGTATTCTCAAATTGTACATACCATAAGGACATTTTCTTTTGTCCTTTTGTCAGTATTTTGTGATCTCTAGTGAAAATTCTCTCATCTCTGAGATTTTGAGACGGTAACAAAGCAATTCCAAATGGAACATTATATTTTCCTGTAGGTTTTTGTAAGTATAAAATTAAATCACAGCTTGTAGTAACTGACTATTTTTGAATAGAAATTGATTAGAAATAACCAATGTAGACTCAAAGAAAGATCACTGCATTTATGTGCATTTAAAAGCTGTTGACATAGAGAAGATCAAGTTGCAATGCCTCTTACTTTTGTTTATAGGCCAACCAGAAGCAAACACTAAGGAGACAATTTTAATTCTGAAGTGGAAAGATAATGCAATTTAGACCATTATTATGTGTTATATAGTTTCATAGAATAATAATACAGAATTGGAAACCACTCACTCCAAAGCCTTGTTTAAGACATATATCCAAAGAATGTATCCACAACATGGCTACATGTTTGTTGGATGAATACATCCAACAAAAGAGTTCTCCACTTATCCTGGTAATTAGCTTCACTGTCAAATTGTTCTTATTAGTTATATATATACTATTTTAAATAACATTCAATCAGAATCTACCTTCATGTAAGTTAAATCCATTAGGTAGTGTCAACTGTGGTAGAATTATAGTTACCATTCTTGACTTTGCACTTCAACATGCTATCATGTTCCTTCTCAAACATCTTTTTTCATGGCTGAACATACTTACCTCACACAATCTCTTTTATAGATTTTAGTTAGGAACATCTTTCTTGATCTTCTTTGAACCTGTTCTATTTTTAAAAAAAAATTCAGAGCTGAAGGAGTTTTTTGGATGAGAAGTGAAACATCTTCAAAGAAAAATAAGAAAGCCCAGTTGCCTCTTTAAAAAGCACTTTTGGGCCAGCACAAACTACACAAAAGCCCTCTTGGCTATGACTGCCACCAGCTCTTCAAGGATTTCCAAATTGCGAACTAGGTATGTTTGGGGCAATCCAGTACCAAACATGGTAAAATTTCAGATCTAGAAGACCTTAAAACTCAAAACACCTTTGGGACAACTATGATCTGGATGACTGGGAATCTCCATAGACATAAAAAATGCATCTTTTCCTTGGCTATTGTTAAATACTTTCAGTGTAAGTTTAAGCTTCTCACATTTTTTGTCAATAATCTTGAGTACCTGCCTGGATAATAAATAGACTGAGATATAATGTATATAATCTATATAGCAACCAATAACAATTTGATTTTAGGGCTCTGTTTATTGTATGTAAAAGACAATATCTGTACTGGCCAGCTCCAAAACACAAAATGTACAAGGCTTTCTGTTCATGGAGTATTTATTAGGATTCAACTCCGCCTCTTTATCAATATAAGCCTATGCATTTAAACAATTGTGCTATTTTAGATCAATGCAGCTTAATTCTTGCTGTCTGTGGCATATTCTTACTGTTGTAGATGTCTGTGGGTTTTTACTGTGTTTTGGAATCATAGCCTAATCACAAGACGATCTCTAAGAATTTTGCTGCCATTCTGATTTGGAACTTTTGTTTTTTCTCTTCTGTGTGTCCATCCTGTATGCACAGCTAGAATCAACCACTCTCATCCTTGCAAGAGGTAAGAGGGGCATGAATGAGAATGGAGGCTTTTTAAATGGTAGCTCCCACACTGTGGAGCATACTTCCCCCAAAAAAGAAAGGTACCACCATATCTGCCATTTTAGAAGACATTTTTTTCAACAGGCTTTGGCACCTAACAAGATCTGTTGTCTTTTTTTGTCTGTATTTGTTTAATGTTAATTTACTGTGCATGTTGTGGTGACTATTTTTAGATGTGTAATTCATGCTCTTTCAAAAATTGCTACTGAACTGAATGTTAAAGTGACGGAAGTAGAAAATAATTAAATGCATGAGTACTTGTATTATCTTTGATTTAAATATAATGAAACTTAGGGTCCTTTGTCACAGCTCCTTTTCTCTTTCAAACTATAGTCTCTATTATAGCATTTTTATCCTCAAAAGTTGAGCATTCCATCTTAAAGAAACATAAAAACATCCAACCTTGTGCAAATGTGTAATTCCTCTACTTTTCTCTGCAATTCAGTGAGCCCTCCAAAATCTTCCCTGGAATGTCTCATAGTTGTACAACATTTCAGTGGCTTTTGAGGACTGCAGAGGGAATAAACTTGCATACATTACGAAAAGAAACCCTGAATTAAATTTGCTTCCTGGATATAACTATTTATATTGCATTGTTTTTTTAAGCATCAAAAACTTTTATAAATTTTTATTAAAGTTGATGGAAATGGTTGCTCATTTTACTGCATTTTAAAATAGCAATCAGTAATTTAAAACACGTTACTTGTATGTTAGCTTTGTTTAAAATCTGCTTTCTTCAGCCTCCACTTCTTTGCAAAATAGATAAATTAAATACATAAAACATGAATAGTGCTTGCAGCATGTATCTGGGTAAGACAAACCTGTCATGGATTTTATTTCAAGCAAAATTATGCAATCCATCAACATAGAGTCCACAATGTGAACAGACATAAAATTCAGAGCCTGCAAACATCTGGCTTAAAAGTATTTTTGGCTGAAAAAGACGTATACAAAAATTAATATATTTGGGGAAATGATGCATACAAGATGTGTAAAAGTTGTATACAAAAATGTGTTTAGTTTTTAAAAAAACAATTTGCAAAATGGTACAGAACTCTGAAGAGATGATTTTTGTAATTTGTTAGATTGACATGGACAAGATACAAAAAGATCCTTACCCATGTGACAAGGTTAGGTTTATCTACTTCATAAAATCTGAATTCCATACAGAGATGCCAAACTTTTCTCTTTAAACTAAACATTTTAATTAAAAAAAATACAAAATCTTTTTTCCGAAAGCAGAAATATTTGATCTTCTCTTAGAATGACAAAATTAAAGTTGCTGCTCCCATCTCCTCTTTGCATGCTGACACTTGTATATGAAAACTTACAGAAATGTTTATTTCAGTGAAAAACATCAGATATTGACAAAGCTTCTATTAATTAATGATGTAATGATACTAGCTTCCATTCCCTGGATATCTTTGTTCATATGGTCTGCAGATAATGTTTCTGAGGAGAATTGTCTTTCTACATGGAGTTGAAATGTGCTATAACAAATTCAGCCATGTTTTGCTGGTTCCATCCACAGCTAATTATTATTTCATCGATTAATCTAGTATTTTATGTCATCATCACAGTGCAAACAGATCCAGGAAACCCCCAAATTTCTGATCTAGGAATAGCTGCAAATGTTGTGGTCCATATAAAAAATTAAAACCACTTTATAGATTTGGTAGTGACAACAGCCACGTGTATTTTAAAAAATAATAGAATGGCAACACTCTCTTTCTCCTGGAGTCCCTCCTACTCTCAAAAATCAATTGCAGAAGGTTGAGAAATCACAGGATTGCAGTGGGAAATAGTCTTTCCTCTTCACTCAGCCAGTCCTCTTTTGTGGATCATAGAGATCCCATGGAAGGGAAGTTTTTTTAAAAAAAAATTAGATCTAATCTCATATCTTTTATGCTAATGAGTTGGGAAACTGCCCTTTGGTGTTACTTTAAACATTACTGAAATATTTGGGAACATCCTCAGAACAGAATATATTTTTCTACCCAAGGTGATGTTAGCTGTACTACATAATTGCTCTTTAGACAAGTCAGTAGTAGAAATAGGTAGGATGTTCCCATCAATGCAGGATATTTAAGTGCAAATGCTCCAGTGATGATTTTACTTGTTTGGACCAGGTTTTGGACTACTCCTATATAAAAATATTCTGGGCTGTTCACTTTATTACATTGCTTCCTAACTCTGCACTAATGTAGAACTACAGTGAAATTCTCGTATTGCTCTCCCTTCCTATCATTTTTTGCAAAAATAAAAAATACTTTCAAATACAGTACTTCCATCATTCTGGATGTCTAATAAAGGGAGAGGGGGGGAAATTCACAGTCAATTATATATAATCTCAGTTTATAATAGACTCTAGTTTTCAATAACATCTTCTGTCCCGTTTCCAAAAAGACTAATGTTCCTGATTCTCTTGTGCAATTCCAGTCACTAAAAGAAGGTTACAGGCCATAAACTGTACACTCAGTACATTGCTGATCTGTCCAGTATATACTCCAACTAGCTCGCTGGAAGAGCCATCTACAGGAGCATTGCAGTAAGTGTTTCGAATATCCCAAACTCGAACAGAGTTGTCCATTGATGCAGAAGCAATCAAACTACTATCCGGACTAAAAGTAAGGCTGGTGATATTATCTGTGTGCCCCCGCAGTTCTTTGTAAAGCGTTCCAGATGCCAAGTCCCACAATTTTAAGCGCTGGTCTTCACCTGCTGAGGCCAAGTACTTACCATTGGGAGAAAAGGCAAGGGACAGAACCGGACCCCGGTGACCTGTAAACAGACGCACTGTGTTTCCTTGCTGGGTGCTCCAGAGCCGCACTGTTTTGTCTGTAGATCCTGTTGCCAAGTAGTTAGAATTTGGATGAAACTTGATGCAGTCGACATCTGCTAAATGGCCCGCGTATATCCGTAGGGGATACGTCCGATCAAATGACCAGAGTCTTGCTGTACGGTCATGAGAAGCACTAGCAAAGTACAAGCTGCAAGGGCTGATGTCCAAGTCCCACACCGGATAAGCATGTCCTTGGTACAAGACAGTGTTTGTAAAACATCCAAGGTCCCAGTATCTGATAGTTGTATCTTCAGAGCATGACAGCAATCCTGAACTGTCTGACAAAAAACTTGTGCTATACACTGGTCCAGAGTGCCCTCTTAATAACTTCATTTCAGTTCCTATATCATCATCATCATCTTCAGCCTGTAAAGAGAATAAAGAAGTTTCTTCAGATGAACTTCCTCTAAGCTTTGTTTTTTTCAATGTCTTTATCAAAGCAATAAAAGCATTTTTTACCAGTTACAACTAAAAGAAATAAACAGGCTGTCAGTGAAAAACACTCCCGAATGCTTGTAAAAAATGCTCTTCTTGAGTCCTTCTCAAAGACCAACTTGGCTGGCAAATCCTATACTAACTAAAGTTTGTGGATCAAATACAAAAGCAGCCTTATGAAGAGAAATCAAGGTTGGATACCTTCAGCTTGTATACCACGAATATCATTTTAGTGCAAGAAAAAGCATAGAGTGCATCTGCTTCTACAGATTCTCTTTCTGGGAGAATGTAGGCCCATCAAAATTTAAAGCTATAGCTTTAAATTTAATGTAATTAATACCTCATTCAGAGGTTAATTAATCCAATATCTTTGCCTTCAACTCCCATTAATAGCAAGCAGGCATTTACATGAATCATTTTATTACCCAATGTTTTTATAGAGAAGTAGATCTGGGTGTCAACAATATACTGATAACAACCAGCTTCAAATCCCTTGATGATCTCTCTATCAGTTTCATGCAGATGTTAAGAAGCACTGAAAATGATATGGAGTACCAAGGGACACCATATAATAGCTGCCGTTTCAAAGAGCAATTGTCTCTTAAGAAGTATGATCTGAAATTATCTGAGGGACGGAAACAGGCACTGCTATTTCTATTATATTCTATATTTCTATTCTATATCTGACCCATAGCTGGAATATTAAAACTGCTGGTAGGTCGAATTCTATACATATCTTATCAAACCATAACAACTTCTTGTGCAGATGTACATAAACAGCCGAAGGAGTTAAGATGCTTTGCATCTTCTACAAATATATTGTTTGGATTATGTTAACAGCTGGATGTATAATAACATGTAACTGGGTCTTGCTTGTATTATTTGTTTTTACAGACGGAAAATTGTATAGTGCAAAAGATTCTGTACTGTTGTTTTTAAGGAAAAAATAATAAAATATACAAATTTTGTGCTATAATCAGAAGACTGAAAGACCCTTTCTTACCTTCAGTAAGATGCTCTTGCCATCACCCTCAATTCTACTACTAATCTATAAAATTATATATAGTATATCATTACTGTGAGTCAGGGGTCCTCAACCTGTGGGCCATGGCCAGAGGTGGTATTCAGCAGGTTCTGACCAGTTCTGGAGAACCGGTAGTGGAAATTTTGAGTAGTTCAGAGAACCGGCAAATACCATCTGACTGGAGATTTTACAGTAGCCTTCCCCTGCCAAGCCCACCAAGCCACACCCACAGAACCGGTAGTTTAAAAAAATTTGAATTCCACCACTGGCCATGGCCCACTCATGGGCCGAAGGATTTACAACTGGGCTGTGGAAACAGGCAAGCGCCCACATGCACATCCTCACTTGCACAAGCAGCGTGCGCTCAATTTAAGTAAGCGGTAGGCGTGTGTGCACACCTCTCGCACAAATGGAGCTGCACACACATCCCCTCTCCCCCGCGCCTGGTCTGAAAGCCAGAAACGTTGGAGAACTCTGTTGTAACCGAAGTCATTTATTTTGATCATTGATCAATCTGCTTTAGGCATTAGTTGCAAAAGACTACTTTAGGAATTATTTTAGGCAATTGCAACACTGCTGTGTTTAGGCAGTTATGCCACATGCAGTAGAAATAATAGCTAGATTAATCATGCATCTTATTGAATTCTGTCTTAAAATCACCCTGAACACCCAGAGTTCATACAGGGGTACAGGTGACCTATAAGTAACTTTCCTTCTAATGAGCAAATTTGAGATTATAACTTAAAGCACTTTCCGAATCTCCTTTTCTGACTCCAATATTATAACTCATCTCTATTTGTGCCCTTGAAAAGTTGAGGTGTATTACTGTAAGCGCATATGAAGAATGAAATTGCCACGAGTCACAATTGGCTAATGAAGCATGCAATTTAATAAGGGCACGTTTAATTTAATAAGGGATCAGTTCTACTATTATCAGAGGTGGGGAAATGGGCAGTTTTAATTTAAAACTTTATCGAGGCAAAATATTGTTGGCTCCCTATCTGCCCAGCCTACCCATATGACTAATGTGTAGAAGGAAACGTGAGGCAGGTTGTGCTTTTTGTTGACAATTTTGAAAATCTCTCACATAAAATATTTCAACATAAACATAATACATTCTACCTATGTTTCAATAAAAAAAAAACTTCAGGATAACAAGATTCTCTGACCTCTTCATCCAAGATATCACAGGCCAAGTGGATTCGGGAAATATCTACTAAGTGAGGCTCAGATTTCAGCTTCTTGGGCCGCAAGCTCCACAGCTTCACACAGGAATTGTCAAAGCCAGCAGCCAGCAGCTTGCTATTTGGCGAGATCTCTGCTGTATTCAGCAACTGCTCATTATTATAGAATGCATAGAAACATATGGTAGTAAGGGATGGTGGCCCATCTTTGACTCTTTTAATGCTATCTTGCAGGAGGTCCAAGGCTGCTTCATTCTGCAGGATGGAAGCAGGCATGTCAGTAGGTTCCAGGCCATTGCTCTCACTGCGTGAAGAGCCACCACTAGCATAGAGCTGATAGTCCACTCTCTTAGCGGATTGCACATCTAGGTGAATATGCAAGGACAGGACTTTGCAGAGAGCACTGTTATTATCACTCTGGAGGTAGCGGAGGAGGAAGTTGTAGCTGTCTTCCTGAAGGCGGATCACATATTTATTGTCCAGAAGTGCCCGAAGTTTGAAATTGGACAGGATGTCTTGAATTGTTAATGTAGTTTGTAACTGTTCAATTATGTCTTTCTGACTGGCATTCTGTAAGAACATCCCATGGAAGCGACTGTAGAAACTGTCCACTGTGCTCTTTAGGCCATTTTGGACCATGTTGAGATGGAGGTAGACAAAGAGAGGATACAGGAGAGGCATCACTTCCTGGCTATGCTGGGAATCTGAATCTAAACACCAAAGATAAAGAACTGTCATTTTTCCTCAGCGAGTGCTCAGCAGATTAAAATAGAATGAAAATTAAACTATCCAGCTCCCACCCCTTTCACAGATAGCCTTTTGATGATATTTTTTTAAACAGGGAATATTCAACATTAACTTTTTGTTCATTAAGAAATACAGGGTAGTTCTAAAACTCACATAAGAACTATCTATGGCAGAATTAGGGGTGGGCAAACAAGTAGCTCAAGACACTCTAATCCTTTAAAATATTTTCTTTGGTAACAGAATGCCATTCTGTCTATGGAACTCCAGTCAGAGAAGGTTCTCAGCTTCTTTACTTTATTATGGCATCTGTGGTAGAGAATAACTTGCCATCAGAGCAGAGATAAGAGTTAGAAATGGAAGTTGCAGGGGCCAACATTCCAATGTTGAAAAATCACATTCTTGGCTCAATGACTAAAGGTTGGTTTAGAGTTGCCTGCAACCGCCTGTAGCTGTTACCACATATCTAGGGGTTGATGGGTAAGTGTAGGTTACAAATGGCTGCAGACAGGCCAATACAAATACCTCCCATGTCATGCAGAGGGGTGCATCCTGCATGCTGATTGGTTGATCTGACTTGTTCTGTGCATTGGTTTTTTTTTTAGTGCTCCCTAGCCAGAATGTCAACATTTGCAAATGTATGAATACAACAGCTATGCAATTGTCTACAAAGGACGAAAGCATGCATGCAGTGCTGGAGAAATTTGCTTGACTCTTAAATCTGGCATACAATGAACCTTTCACTTAACAAATCTATGGCTCCAATCTGGATTTTACCCACCTGTCAGAAAGTTGCGCAACCGCCCAAACTGTACTTCATATTGTTGGGGCTCTGCTAAGCAGGGTGCGGCAGAAATCACATTTGTACAACCCGATTCAGATTGTACTAAAAAAATAAACAAAAACGAAGACAATTGGCTTTCAAATGCATTGAATGCTGCAATGTAACTTTCTGCTTTTTTATATCGAAACACATAACTTCTGCATTTTTAAAACAATCTAGTAAACATCTGTTTCCACTATTTTTATTGGACAAATGGAAGGGGTATCAATCAGGTCGAAAATATTTCGCAATGCTTGGTATACTTCTTGTCTGTATATAAAGTTTACAAATAAGTTAAGATTGTTAAGGTAATGGCCTTAATATTTCTATTAATCCAGTTTAGTTTTTTTCATTATATACAGTAGAATGAATTCACACATGTAACTAAACTAAACATGCCCCCAAAATAAAAACTTCAGTATTTAGCATAGGTTGTTATCAAGGATTACTATCACAGAAAATTGACGACACACAAAATGTCAGAATACATTATTTCTTTCAATTAGGTTCATTCCTAAATTAAGTGGAGATTAGTTAATAATCAAATCATTTTTAAATGTCCATTTAAATGTCCACCATAAATCTGAAGAACTGTACTCATACTAATTTTACCTTGAGTATAGCTATCTATACAATCTAGAATCCCAATTAAGCTAACTGTGTGAATTTATCTCAGGCAATTTTAAAAAGAAAGTGGGTGAGAAGAATGAAGGAAAAAGACCTTCCCCATTCTATGAAATTCCACTGAGGCATTTCTATGCAATGTACTGTAGCATGAGAATAGATGCAAAAATGAGGCATTTCAGGCAATCAAAGACAGAGACTCTGATATCAGAGCCCCTGATATCAAACGATACCTTTGATATCAGAGCCCCTGATCCTGATATCAAATGATACCTTTTGTCTGATTTTTAGGAAGCCTATCTCCTTCAGAAAATCCTTTCCACCTTCAGGACAAGCAAAGAACTGAGAGGGCAAGACAGGCATTAAATCCTTTTTCCTTCCTGAGCACAGGTTTGGATTCGCCTCATTGTGATTATAACCCCACCAACATAATTTTCTAGATTATGTCTACAAACAACCCCTCAGGATGGTTAGATCTGTGGCTCAGCATCGCTACAGATTCTGCTTATAGTGGAACCTCTACAATTAATTTCCTGTCAAGCTGGAAATCTAAATTTCACTGTTAGTGTCCCATAAAAGTCCCACAAGAAGAAATCTAGAAGCAACTTTTGCAGTTAAGTTGGCTAATAGTTCTCAAAAATGGGAAAAAAGACACTTTAGGAATCTATCTTGATCAGCTTGTGCCATGCAAAACCTACACCATTTAAATTCTATTAATTTAATTAGAGTCTTGCATTCATTTTCTGTGGGTTTATACAAGTTATACAAAAATAATAAGCTCTGAAGATGTGGCTAAGGTTATTAACATGTATTCCAGCATCACTGCAACCAAGAATAATTAGTGCATACATCTGTTTTCCCATGAAGCTGTTTTTACTGTTTACTACTGTTCAGGTAGTTGCTTACATAATTATGGTCCCTGGTATCCCCCCACCTTCCAATCATAACTTCAAGTTGCAAACTTTATTGCTATTTGTTTTAAAACCAGTTATTTCATATAGAACTGTCCAAAAATGACATAACATCCTTAAGTTATTTAGATTAATTTAACATATCCATAGAACCCAGAATTACAACACCAACATTTTAAGTACATTATGAACTCATAAGTTTAGAACATATTAACCACTTCTAAACCACACAACCTCCCATAATTTTATTTTACTTATGAAATAAATGTTTCAATTCAATGGCTAATTTAATTTAATTAACTAAATAAATAAAAGCTCAGTTTATCTCAATATATCAGGATATACAATAATTTAAAGATGCAGCTCCCAAATGAATCACTTTCAAACATTCAGCATTAGCAGTTATTAACTTGATGTTTCATTATAAAATCTCTAGTAAGTTTTCCTTGCAATAATCAACTGATTAATTAAAGAACCATTTTAGTCTAGTGGTTAAAGCACCGGGCTAAAAAGCAGAATATCATGAATTCTAGTCCCACCTTTTAGCCATAAAAAATGGCTTTGCAGGTTTTGGGTTAGTTATTCTCTCTCAGATAAGTCAAATAAGTCTGGATGGTAGTTGTGACCATGCAATAAATATCCCATTCCTTAAGTACACTGCTCATGCCATGCATGTAAAAAAGGATGGGATTTTGATCATGTATTCATGGCTACCATTTTGACTTTTCTGAGTCCCCCTCCACCTGAATGCTGCTAACTTGGATTCATTATGTTCAGTCTCATTCCAAGTAAATGCCTAGACATTTTGTAGTACTATAAAAATAAGTTCCCTTGTTCCTTTCTTGCCTACCTGTCAGATTAGCAGCCATTTCTTCAGCTGTGTGGCATAGGCGCAGCCCTTGTTTCAGGGGACCTTCTGAGTCTACGTACTGCCTGCGCTTGACATAGCAGGAAACAGCCATCTGAATCTGTTCGGTGCGTACACGTTTCATGACCTTCAAAGAAAGATGTAGAATTCAAATTCCAAGGAAACAGTAAAACCATACATTTTACGTAGCATTTTCTTAAGACATAAATTAGTGTAAACTGCAAGCCTCTGCCATGTTTCAATCCAAGAGAACCCCCTCATACAATATTGGAAGGTAGTGTTTAGATTTCAGCACTTTGAGATGGACAATGACAATGAAAACCTTTTGGGATTATGATTTTTTTAAAAAATAAAATCTTAACAAAACGTTAGGAAAGGATTTTGTCAATGAAAACTTCAAATCGTCACTGGCCTAATTTACACATCACATAAAACAGTGTTTTTAACCTGTCTATTGATCAAAGAACCGCTGTTGTTCATCTAACTTTTTAGATTTCATGGCACCCGTCAAATATTAAATTGCTTGGAAATCTTTATTTGCAAATGGCTTTTCAACACTATACAGTATTACTGATTATGAATATTTCAGGTGATATCCCCTGGGATGGGGAATGCGTGGCTTTCCAGAACTTTCATAACTTACCATGCTGGCTGAATTGTTGCCTCCCCTCCTAATTGTTCAGCTTGCAAATGGTATTTTTCTCTCTCCATCAATCAGAGACATGTCTCCCTAAATACTACTCCTGACAGTACCAACAGTCTTGGATTGTCAAGTGTTTCTGTACAATAAGCAATGATGATATTTCCCACCGTACAATAGAATGAAACGTACTGCCAATCCCTACTGTGGCTATTTTGTCTAAGCTCCAAGAAGGCTTCTATTTGCTTATCTCCACCGATAACTCAGCGTCAAGAACGCAAAAGATGAAACAGAACCCAATACACGGCGGCCCACTATCAAGTCCACTTATTCGAAAGTTTCACGGACTGTGGCTTCATGCTCCCAACGTAAGCAAGGCAAGATGCACAGACCATCCTCCCGTTTCTATGCCTTTTCCGCCACATCCGTCCCCGGGGAAAGCACTTGCAAAAAAAACAAAACCAAATAAACATGGGGAGGAAGGAAAGAAAAGACGGATAGAAAAGATGCACGACCGGGAAGACCCCACCAGCTCTTCCTGCCGCTCCGGCAGCTGCACCGGCGGGAAGAAGGGAAACCCGAAGACACAGAGCCCGATTTTACCCAGGGAGGGCCCGAGAGCGCTTCCGCGCGCCACGCGCAGCTCGGCTTGCCTCGACTCTCGTCCACCCGCCCGAGCGAAAGGGGCAGCTCCGCGGGGAAGAAATATACTCACTGGAGCATTGCAGGCATGGAAGTCGGAAGAGAGAGAGAGAGGGAACGCGGGCGCGCGAGCCGCGGCGAACGTGGGTGATTCCTAATGCAGGCACGCGACAGAATTCCCGGGTTCGCGCCGTCAGTCACTGCGCCCAGCCGCGCGAGACGACTCCGCCGCCGTTGCTGCTGGTGTTGCGGAGATCGCGGACTCCGGTGGTGGCGCGAGCAGTTTTTCCTCCCGGGGGAACCTTCTGCAAACTAAGCTGGCTCGGACGTCCCGCGTTGCAAGCTCCGGCGGCTTTAGGCGCTTCGATGACCGTCGCGGCTGAAAACCGCCGCTCCATGACTGACGGAACTGACTCGGAGAAACCGAGGGGGGAGGGGGGGAAAAGAGGAGAAGGAGGGGGGGGGGGGGGGGGGGGGGGGGGGGCAGAGAGAAAGGCGATTGCGCAGGCGTGGCCTTCTAACCAATGGGAAGGCGCTCCTTCTTTTCGACGCTCAGCTAGGAAGGCCTGCCCGGTTCCTTTCATCCGGATAATTAGGTGACAGAGGAGAACGCGAGGAGGTTCCGGAAGGAGGAACACGTGCGTGGAGCATCTGGGAAGCTCGTGGGAAGAGGCGGTGTCCTCGCCGCCGTGCAGCGTCGCGGGGCGGAGGAAGCCTGCCGGAGGGTCCCGGGGGGAAACGGTGCAAATGTCAATCAGAGAGTAGCCTTGTAGCCTCTGTGGCGTTGCGGTCCTTCGCCATTCTCTCGAACGCAACTTGTGCCTGAAAGCCAGAGGTGGGCTGTTGGAAGAGAAGCCCGATTTCTCTTTATTTCACTCCTCAACCAGCCAGGGACTCTTGGAGGCTGCCTGTTGTTCGGCAGGGCGGCGAGTTTCGGAAGGCAGCTAGGAACCGATCTTGTGTGCAAGACTCGATTTGTAAACAGCCCTGATTGGATGTGAGTTTGCAAACTTCGTAACATTTTGAGATAAGCGGCTCCGAGGAAACCACGGGGAAGCCCTCTTATTTCTTGCGTTAGAAGGCAAAAGCTTTCCTGGAAGTTATATAGACTGCTCTGAATTGACTGCTTCTTAATTTGCTTGGGGTCAGTTGATGGCTAGGCATGGACAGGCATGGCAAGAGGGCAGATGCTAGATATAACAGAATGACAGAGTTGGGAGGGGTCTTGGAGATCTTCTAGTCCAACCCCCTGCTCAAACGGGAAACCGTTTCAGACAAATCAGTGTCCAATCTTTTCTTAAAAACCTCCAGTGTTGGACCACCCACAACTTCTGGAACTGCAGCTTTCTGTGCTGCCAGAGGCTGGCCGGGAATTCTGAAAAACCTAGCCAAATGTTGCTGTAAGTCATGCAAAGTTAGGTTGGATAGAAATTATCATTGAAAACATAGAGGGCACAAGTATGTCTGCTGAAGGTATGTTTTTATGGGGCATTGGGGCATTTGAAATCCTGATGTTAGCATTGGAACTGAATGATAACTGGGCTGGGATTGTGATTGCTGTATGAGAACTCTTGGCAGAGTGCTACGTGAATTTGGAAATGAGAGACCATTTTGGTAGGCCCATAACAAGAATGTCTGGGGGGAAGACAGCAGGGGTCGCATCTATTCGCTAGAACCTGTTGTTAACATTCTAAGCAATTCAGAGAACCAGTTGTTAGAAGAAATTACTGGCCTAATCCTGTAAGGAAGGCAGGAAGGAAACATTCTGGTGTTGCTTACAGAAACTGCCTCTCCATTAACCCTTATTACATTCTTGGCAGGACTAGACTTCCTGTCTCAGGAACTTCTCTGGAGTTTTCTTCCCCTCCTTTGCTGGCACTTTGCTTGTGTGGAGTGACCATTCAAAGTTACAATGGCACTGAAAAAAGTGACTTATGACCGGTTTTCACACTGATGACTGTTGCAGCATCCTCACAGTCATGAGAGGCCATGACTGCGAGGAGATGACTGCCTCGATGTGAGTGATATTGAGTTGGCCACGCCCACAGAACCGGTTGTTAAAAAATTTCAATCCCACCCCTGGAAGACAGGATAGTAAATCTATAATAAAGTCTATAATAAGTAAGCAGTCAGCAAATCAATAGTAAGAATCTGATTAGTTATTGTGCATATACAAACTTTAATAGTAAACAGAGGTTTGGCAATGATAAAGATGAGACACTTTATTGATTTGAACAGTTTTTATTGAAACAGTCACATCCCCATACTTGCATGGAGTCCAGGAAAATGAATGTAGCATTTATCTTTTTACTTTAAAGAATCAGTACCTTTTCCTGGGTGCTGCAAACCCTTTTTGGACAGTGCATTTGAAGTGCTGCACAGCTTTGATATATACATAATCTCTGCACAGTGTCATTGAGGACAGGACAGGTAAGAGAAGGTTGTCATAGAATGAAGTGATAATCTTAACATTACTTACTATGCTTAGATGCACTTGGTTAGCTGGTTCATTTTCTAAACAATGCCAATTTGCCCTTTTCTCTCTCTGATACTATTCTCTGAACCTATTTTCCAAAGTACCAGAAGGCAAGACAAGAAACAACAGATAGAAACTAAAAAGGAGAAAAGCAATCTAAAACTAAGGAAAAATTTCCTAAGAGTGAGAACAATTAACCAGTGGAACAGCTTGTCTTCAGAAGTTGTGGGCACTTCGTCACTGGAGGCTTTTAAGAAGAAACTGGACAGCAGCCACTTGTTTGAAATGGTATAGGCCAGGGTCTCCTTCTTGAACAGGGGGTTGGACTAGATAGAAGACCTCCAAATTTCCTTCCAACTCTATTATTCTGTTTCTGTATCAGGTGTCTGTTGAAGATATACCTTACAACAGGGGTGGGCAACTATGGTGCCTTTATGACCTGTGAACTTCAGCTTCCAGAATAGCTGCCTCAGGATTTCTGGGAATTGAAGTCCACAGGTCGTAAAAGGGCCACAGTTGCCCACCCTTGGCTTATAGCTTGATTCTAATCAGGAAAGAACAGATCCTTCAAAACATTGTTTATTCTGCTAAAATGCTTATGAAAGGAAATCTAGGCATCTCTTAACATGAGATTATTTATTCCTTCAGCAGATGTTCTCTTATTTCTTAAGCACCAGAAAAGGAATTTAAGGTCCCCCAGTGTTGTTAGAATAACCCTTCAAAGTTGATTAGCATTCATTCTTCATTTTTATCCCAATATTACAATGGTGGACAGGCAGTGTAAAGGCAGATTTGTGAATGACTACAAATAGTCTTTGACTTACAGCCATTCATTTAGTGATTGTTCGAAGTTACAACAGCATCAAAAAAAGCGACTTATGACCATTCCTTGAACTTGTGACTTGTATCATCTCTGTGGCCACATGATCAAAATTTCAGCACTTGGCAACCAGCATGTATTTACAGAAGTTGCAGCATCACAAGGTCATATGATCACCATTTGCAACCTTCCTAGCTGGCTTCTGACAACAAAGTCAAAGGGGAAACCTGGGTTTGCTTAATGACCACATGATTCACTTAACCACTGTGGCAAAAAGACTGTAAAATTGGGCGTGATTCACTTAACAACCACCCTGCTTAGGAATGGAAATTCTGGTCCCAATTGTAGTCATAAGTTGAGGACTACCTGTACCATCAACAAATTCTTAGGAGGTATGAGAACTGAACTATACAACTTCCCTTTTTCAAATGTATCAACTATATTGCAGACCAGAACAGATAAGTAGCAGTTTGAAGGAGCTGTCATGAGAATTTGGTTAGAAACATAATTAATATTCAGCTTTAAATAATTTTCAGGTTCTCCTTCCATGGCTGCAATTTACTCTGGTATTCATCTGAAGCTGAAAAGCTCAAAGACCTCTTGGGAGGACAAACTCAAGTTGGCTCGGTTTGCATGGATTTCTCATCAGTGTTTCCTTCCAAACAAAGAACAAGTAATGTATTTCAGTAGATCTTTTCTCTTAAAAGCTGTTCCATGTTGTTCCATATTAGGAGGTCTTGAACCTGCTAGGCACTCTTTCTTCAACCAAAAGGGAGCTTAGTTATTCAAAAAAAAAAATTATCACTTATTTTATCCAAGTTTTATTGAAAGTGGCTGAGAAGTAATTTAATACTTAAAAAAGCATTTAACTAGCACAAATGTCAAATTGTTTTTCATATGAGGATGTTTTTATCATAACCCATCATTCTTGCTACATTTCTATAATGTTAGAAATTGTGTATGAAGTTAATGTAAATATACTGGATATTTCTGTAAACATCTAGTGCCATTCTTTCACCATTTTTTTTAAAGTTTACTCACCTTTAAGGCTTACCTTGCCTTTCTTAAAAATATTTCTTTCCCTAGACAAGAAGCATCTATTTGGGGGACAACCATATTAACCATATTTTAGATGGATTTTTAAAAGAGAAGGAGATTTCCTTGCTTTTCTGCAGCTGCTTTATGAAAAGATTTTGAGGACATGCAGAAGATTGGAGAAAAACAATCTGTTACTCAAGCAGAAATATACTCTTAATATTGAATTTCATCCAAGGAATACCAATGTATCATGCAGATATAGATCTTATTGCTTTATTTTAAAAATTTCTGCATTGCCCCTCAAAACCAAACTAAAAAAGTTATTAAAAGTACTGTCAAGACATGGTTAAGGATTCCTAATAGCACCACTGATATTACTGGGAACATGGGACATATCACTAGACACACAGGGCCAACATTGACTGAAACCAGAAACATGTAATTTAGTATGTTATACAAGGACTGAATTTTGTTAAGTCTGTACATAGCAATCTACAGTTAAGGGTCTGTTAGTAGTAGGAAACCTTTTGTAATTTGGGAGAATAATTCATTATTTTCCAGGTTGGTTACCAATCTAAAAAAACCCGAAGAAATGTCCCAACCAACTATCACAGAGAATAATTGGTCAGCAGGCAGACTACTTATAAAATCTACTCTTGCAAAATGGTTTTGAATGTAAGAGTGATATCACTTACCCAGTTATACTAATAGGCCTTATCTATGTTTCTGTTTGTCATGTAAAATTAAATGTATTCTGCCATCCCACTGAAGGTCCTGTTCTGTCCTAGGCCTCCCCAAAAAGCACTATGTCAGGTTTCCAAGTGATGAAATCCATTTAAAAAGAAAAGTACAAAGTCCATCTTCCAAAAATATTTCTTTTATTTAGGAAAGCATCAAATTGGCAAAGTCCATGGTAATTCTGGATCTGACACAACCCGGAATTACCCCGCAATATTACAAGTTAGAAACAACCTCCCAAAATCACATTCTCCAATAGAAGTAATTCAACGTTGCTTGATGTCATAAATCTCCACCTCAAGGGGCCCAAGCAAGGACAGCTCGTTTCTCATGGGAAGAAAG